AGTCGGATCGGGGAGGTTGAAGTCGGGTCAGGGAGGTTGAAGTCAGGTCAGGGAGGTTGAGGTCGGATCGAGGAGGTTGAGGTCGGGTCAAGGAGGTTGAGGTCGGGTCAAGGAGGTTGAGGTCGGGTCAGGGAGGTTGAGGTCGGGTCGGGGAGGTTGGGGTCGGGTCGGGGAGGAGATGCAGGAGAGATGCAACAGCCGCTGATATCTAAAATTTAGGCCGTTGTGGCAAAGCGTTGGGAGGTTGAGGTTGGGGTTGGGTTGAGGAGGCTGAGTTTGGGTTAAAGAAGTTGGGGGTCAGGTAGAAATTGAATTGGATTGAGGAGCTGAGTTTGGGTCGAGGAGGTTGAATTTGGGTCAGGGAGGTTGAGGTCGGGTCGAGGAGGTGCAGGAGAGACACAACAGCCACTGATAGCTAAAATTTAGGCTGCTGTGGCAAAGCGCTGGGAGGTTGAGGTTGGGTTGGGGTTGAGTTGAGGAGGATGAGCTTGGGTTGAGGAGGTTGAGGAGGTGCAGGAGAGTCACGACAGCCACTGATGTCTAAAATTTAGGATGCCATGGCAAAGTGTTGGGAGGTTGAGGTTGGGTAGAAGTTGAGGTTGGGTTGAGGAGGTTGGGTTGAAGAGGATGAGGTTGGGTTAAGGAGGTTGAGGTTAGGTTGGGGTTGAGTTTGGGTTAAAGAGGTTGAGGTCGGGTAGAAATTGAATTTGGGTTGAGGATGTTGAGGTAGGGTTGGGGTTGGGTTGAGGAGGATGAGGTTGGGTTGGGAGTAGGGTTGAGGAAGTTGAGGCTGGGTTAAAGACGTTGAGGTTGGGTAGAAGTTGAGTTTGGGTTGAGGTTGGGCCGGAGAGGTTGGAGTTGGGTCGAGGAGGTTGAGGTCGGGTCGGGGAGGTTGAGGTCGGGTCGGGGAGGTTGAGGTCGGGTCGGGGAGGTTGAGGACAGGTTGAGGAGGTTGAGGACAGGTCGAGGAGGTTGAGGTTGGGTCGAGGAGGTTGAGGTCGGGTCGAGGAGGTGCCGGAGAGACACAACAGCCGCTGATATCTAAAATTTAGGCTGCTGTGGCAAAGCGTTGGGAGGGTGAGGTCGGGTTAAGGAGGTTGAGGTTGGAGTTGGGTCGAGGAGGTTGAGGTCGGGTCGAGGAGGTTGAGGTTGTGTTGCGGTTGGGTTGGTGGTGACCATGGAGCATCCCCCCCTGCCCGAGCTGACGCGGGGCGCCCGCCTCTTCTCTCCTCTCCTTGTGCCCAGACGACCCAGACCCCGACGACGGATTTAATTACAAACAGATGATGGTGCGCGACGAGCGGCGGTTCAAGATGGCTGACAAGGATGGAGACTTGACCGCCACCAAGGAAGAGTTCACCGCCTTCCTGCACCCCGAAGAGTACGACTACATGAAAGACATCGTTGTGCAGGTGGGTCCAGTGCCATAACCCCAAAATTCGGTGTTTATGGCAAAGAAATGGGATGGAAATCAGGGCATTGGGGGCACAAAACATGGTTTTTGGGGGGTATTTTAATGGGTAGATCACATCCTGGTGCTCGCTGGGGCTTGGGAATCGCTCTGAGCCTGGCTCATGACCATTTCCTCCTTGTAGGAAACCATGGAGGACATCGACAAGAACGGGGACGGCTTCATCGACCTGGAGGAGTACATAGGTGAGACGTCGGCGTTTCGGCTCCGCGTCCCCGTCCCCCGGAGCGGCTGCTGGCGTCCGCCTTCCCTTCCCTTCCCCCTCCTGGAATGTCCTTATCTCTCTTAACTTCCCCGCTTCAGCCCTGCCCAGGATTTCTGGGTTCAATCCCAAACCGACGACAGGCGCTGGGGGTGGGAGGAGCTTCCAGGCCTCCTTATCTGAGAGTTTTGGTGGGGGAGAGAGGTGGCCAGAAACGCCTCTGCCTCCCAAATGTGTCTCAAAAACGCCGCCTGAAACAGCATTTCTAAAGATTTTGGGGTGGATTTAGGGAAGTAAGGATTAAATAATTGACTTCAAGACCATAGAAATTGGGAATTCCTCGGGGGGGGGGGGGTGCCGGGGGGGGGGGGGATGTGCGTGCTGACCCCAGGGTCTCACCGGGTGCCGTCCCTGCTTTAATGGGAGGGGGTGTTCATCTACCCATCACGCCTTGCAGGTGACATGTACAGCCACGACGGGGACGCCGACGAACCCGAGTGGGTGAAAACGGAGCGGGAGCAATTCGTGGAGTTTCGGGACAAGAACCGTGACGGCAAAATGGACAAGGAAGAAACCAAAGACTGGATCCTCCCGTCGGATTACGACCACGCCGAGGCGGAAGCGCGGCACCTCGTCTACGAGTCCGACCAGAACAAGGTCGTTTGGAGGCGCCTTGGCCAAAGCGCCTTCGTTAGGGCTAATTAAGAGGGGCTTGAGGGCGTTGAGTGGGCTGAGGGGGTCAAGGGGTGTTAAGGGGGTTGAGTTGGGTTGAGGCAGTTGGGGTGGGTTGAGGGTGTCGAGGTGGTTGAGTGGGTTGTGGGATTCGAGTGGGTTGAAGGGTCTCAAGGGGGTTGAGTTGGGTTGTAGGGTTTGAGTGGATCAAGGGGGTCAAGGGGTTGAGTTGGGTTGAGGGGGTCGAGTGGGTTGAGGAGGTTTGGGGGGTTGAGTGGGGTGAGGGGATCAAGGGGGTCAGGGGTGTCGAGGGGGTTGGGTTGGGTTGAAGGGGGTGAGTGAGTTGAGGGATTTGAGTGGGCCAAGTTGAGTTGAATGGGTTGTGGGGTTTGGGTGGATTGAGGGGATTGAGGGTGTCGAGGTGTTTGAGGAGGCTGTGGAGTTTTAGTGGATTGAGTGGATCAAGGGGGTTGAGTTGATTTGAGAGGATCCAGGGGGTTGTAGGGTTTGAGTGGATCAAGGGGGTCAAGGTCATTGAGTTGGGTTGAGGGAGTCGAGTGGGTTGAGGGGTTGGAAGAGGTTGAGTTGGGTCAAGGGGTTGAGTTGGGTTGAGGGTGCCAAGTGGGTTGAGGAGGTTTGGGGGGTTGAGTGGGTTGAGGGGATCAAGTGGATTGAGGGGGTCAGGGGTGTCGAGGGGGTTGGGCTGGGTTGAAGGAGGTGGGTGAGTTGAGGCATTTGAGTGGGTCAAGTTGAGTTGAGTGGGTTGTGGGGTTTGGGTGGATTAAGGGGGTTGAGGGTGTCGAGGTGGTTGAGTGGGTTGTGGGGTTCGAGTGGGTTGAAGGGGGTCAAGGGGGTTGATTTGGGTTGTAGGGTTTGAGTGGGTCAAAG